CACACACACACACACACACACACACACACACACACACACACACACACTGGAACTTGTGACCTATGTGCTCCGGAGAGTGAAGGAAGTAGGAAAAAAAGGCTGATTCCAAGGTGTTTGGAGCCTAAATAAACTTAGAAAATGGAGGTGCCCTTGGAAGGGGCCCCAGTTTTCAGGATGAATTAAAATTCCAGACAGGTGTTTAAAGTGACAGCAAGGCTGGCAAAAGAGAAAAGGGTGACTTTGGGCAAATTTGACAAGTTTTATCATTTCAGCAGCCGTATGACCCAACTGAAATAGTAATACTTGCCCTACCGGCCTCACAAGGTGGTTGTATGAATCAAATGCGAAGAGAGACGTGAATTCATTTCTACAATATAAAATCTGACTTAAGTGGGGGAATTCCCTGGTGGTCCAGTGGTTAGGACTCTGTGCTTGCACTGCAGGGGGCATGGGTTCGATCCCTGGTTGGGGAACTAGGATCCTGCATGCCGCGTGGCACGGACAAAAAAATAAATAAATAAAATAAAATATGACTTAAATGTGAGGGTGGGCCTATTGCCATCAGTGGGACAGGAAATGAGGATTTGGGCTCCTCATAGCAGAGGTGATTAAAATCTGAAGAATGGGGCTTCCCTGGTGGCGCAGTGGTTGAGAGTCCGCCTGCCGATGCAGGGCACACGGGTTCGTGCCCCGATCCGGGAGGATCCCGCATGCCGCAGAGCGGCTGGGCCCGTGAGCCATGGCCGCTGGGCCTGCGCGTCTAGAACCTGTGCTCCGCGGTGGGAGAGGCCACAGCACTGAGAGGACCGCGTACCGCAAAAAAAAAAAAAAAAAAAAAAAAAAATCTGAAGAATGAGTGAATTGTCTGAAGGAGAGATTTTAGAGGCAGAAGAACAGAAGGCCAAAAACACCTACTGTCAGAGGTGAGAAGAAAGAGGGACCAGCAAAAGAGAAACCAATCTAGTTCCCATCAGCTCGTGGAAACAGAGACAGTTGGAAATACCTTTCAGTCAAGGATTCAAGTCTGCCTTCTAAACTGCTCATTTCAACTGCTTAATTACAACTACTTTGTTCTAAAAAAAAATATGTATTTTCAAATTGCAGACATGCAGCCCCATCCCGGTGTTGATGTCACTCTCCTCTCTCTCCAACAGATTGACTTTGTGGCCCACGATGACATTCCATACTCCTCTGCTGGCTCTGATGATGTTTACAAGCATATAAAGGAAGCAGGTGAGGGTCGTCCTGTGCTCACCTGTCCCCTGCAGCATAGTGATCAGGGTTAATAAGAGACGTCTGCCCTGGGCCTGCAGCATATACGTACAAGGCACTGGCGTTTCACATGTCTCCCAAGTAGCCTCTGTTGACATGTGCTAAGTCTCAGCTGTGGCACAGACACCAGTTAGGTATTTATATAGAAATTAACCTGAGCACCAAAGTACTCAACTTCCGGTTTGAGGCTCGATTTTAGAGTTCATCACAGGACCTAAAATCACAGGACCCTGTTTATTTTTTTTATTGGAGTATAATTGATTTACAGTGTTGTGTTAGTTTCTGGTGTACAGCAAAGTGATTCAGTTATATACACACACACACACACACATATACACACATATATATATATATTCTTTTTAATATTCTTTTCCATTATAGATTATTACAAGATATTAAATATTGTTTCCTGTGCTATACAGTAGGACCTTGTTGTTTATCTATTGTATATATAGTAGTGTGTATCTGCTAATCCCAAACTCCTAGTTTATCCCCCTCCCCGGACACTGTTGTTTAAAGGGCAATCATTTTCCTCATTAACAATGAAATTACTCTATGTTCCCAAGAAAGTTCCTTCCAGAAGAATACAGATAACTGGCTAATTAATGATCTGGACTCCTCATCTCCCAAGTCCAGTCCTGCCATAGGTCATCCTGTCACATGATAATAATATCCTCAGGTACCACATGCAGAGGCCAAAAATAAAAATAAAAAGAAAGAAAGAATGGATAAATATTTGTGGTAGTCAAGTAAACATTAGTGGCAACTGTCATTCCTCGGCCACCTGTTTCCTCCTGATAACAGTTAACTGATGTCATGGAAGGCAGACATGGTGCCTGAGCTTTGGAAGTTGTCCCATTTGTCACTAGGCATTTCTCTTCAGGTCAGAGAGTCTGGTTGGCCCCAGGGACTTACTGGGGGACTGGAAAGAGGGAGGTTTCCTTCCATTGCGGGCTCCCCGGAATTAATTCCTTCATCAAGTACTCTTCGTACTCCTACGCTGCTCTGACTGCAGGGAAATCGCTCCTGGGCATCATAGAAGGTCTGTGGTTTCTAGCCTCAGTGGGATGCTCGGTTGCTCCTTGGTAACATTTACCTCCTCTTTTTCCCCTTCCTGCCCTGATTTACCCATAACTCCTTGCGTCCTTGCATCCTTGCTTCCTCTACTGCATCCAGAGGAAGAGGGGTATGTTTTCTGTCCCAGGCTAACCTCTTATCTGAACTTACCTTCTCCCTTCCCTGGAGCATGTTTTCTTTTATTCTTCCTCCCATTGTGATCCAAGCTTCTCACTCTCCAGTAGTTTCTTACCAGCTTGCGTAGAAGTTTACAAAAACAAATAAACCCAGATCTTTCCTTCTGCCCTCCCTCCTGCCTCTACCTTCACGGACATCCTTGCTTGGTCCTCCTCTTAGTGGCAGCTGTCATTCCTCAGTCACCTGCAGTCTGACTTCTGTCCCATCTTTGCTCGGTTCTCAGATGCCCTTTGGACCACCCAATCCAGCGGCCTTAGCTCAGTCCCCCCTCTGGGCATAACGACACTGCTGACCGTGTTCTTTGCTTAGACGCTCTTGTCTGGGACACTTCTGGGACCTTTGGTTTTTTGTGTGTTTTTTTTTCTTGATATCTTTTGGCCGCACCATGGGGCATGTGAGATCTTAGTTCCCCGACCAGGGATCGAACCCGTGCCCACTGCATTGGCAGTGCAGAGTCTTAACCACTGGGCCACCAGGGAAGTCCCCGCTCCTGGGTTTTGTTACTGGGTTTCTCTCCCTGTCTCACCAGCCTCAGCTCTGTGCTCTGCCATCCACACGCTCTACACTCCAGGTACACGGAATCTGTCCTGGTTTCCAGACACACCCCCGCTTTATGCCTTTCCTCCAGCTGTTCTCTGGGCTTGGAATGCCCTTCCTCTGAGCATCTTGGTCAGGGCCCAGCTGAGGAGCGAACCCAGACATGCACCCTCTCCCTGGGGCATGATTCAGCACAGCCCCCGCCCTCTTCAGAGGCAGACACTCTTCGCACATGGACCTCCTTGTCAGCTCCCTTCTCCTGATTGTGTGTGTGTGGGTGGGTGGGTGGGTGTGTGTCCCTAGCTAGAGTGAAGTGCCACAGGCCACGGCCATAACTCATCCATCTTTGCATCCCCAGCACAGTCCCTGGTACATCTGTGGTGCTCCTTAAGTGCTGGCTGAACAAGAGAGTGCTTTTATTGAGTATGATGGGGAGGCAGCTTAAGATGGAAGCCTTTTGTGTGCAGGGGCTCTTCCCAACACATGGGGAATGGAGCCATTTACCCAGATCATTCGGGCACACACTTCTGTCTTGTGGAATGGTTCATATTATTTAGATGTAAGGGTGATATTTTGGCCTGAAGGATATGGACCTTTCATCCAATTTGTTGGCTTTTCACTGGTATCTTGGCCTCTGAGTTCCTCGCACACCTCTTTATTGAAGGAGATGCTAATGACAAGTGCTGAATTACTCCAAACCATCTTAGCCTCACAGCCCAACAAAATCTCAGTGAAAGATGGAAGGGCTCACTCTGTGACTTATTTCAAAAATGACTGTGAGGGCTTCCCTGGTGGCGCAGTGGTTGAGAGTCCGCCTGCCGATGCAGGGGACGCGGGCGGGTTCGTGCCCCGGTCCGGGAAGATCCCACGTGCCGCGGAGCGGCTGGGCCCGTGAGCCATGGCCGCTGAGCCTGTGCGTCCGGAGCCTGTGCTCCGCAACGGGAGAGGTCACAACAGTGAGAGGCCCGCGTACCGCAAAAAAAAAAAAAAAAAAGACTGTGATCTGAAAGATCTTTGAAATTATATCTATGAATTTGCATCTTTTTTGCTCTACTTTATAACAGGCAAAAACTCACAAATTATAGGTGCTCTTTGGGGCAAATGTATAATGGAAAAATAGTCTCGGCTCTACCCAATACTCACCATTTTCCTGAGCTGAGGTTTTCCGTCAATGTCACAGGGTTTCAAATAATCACCAGGAATCAGAATAGTCATTGCTGGGATTTTAAAATACCCAGCCTCCCCAGATAATATCCATTTGGATTACTTAAAAAGACAGCTGGGGCAAAGGTAATTACTTCTACCCTCTTACAGGATCAGATATGGTTTTTCTGACTCTATAAGTGGAGCTGTCCAAGGTTGAGGAGGCAGTACGGTAACGTGAATTCCTTAGCTTCTCCATCCCTCTTCCTTCATCAGACCACCTTCCATAAACTTCCCATAAGCCTGTTGCTGCCTGAGAATCTTGGAGCGAGGAAGAGTTTGAGGAAGGGATGGGCTGGAATTGGTATTTTAGCTAAAGGTAGGTGCAGAAGTAGATTTTTAATGGCTTAATTTATTTTCTGCTATTTTATTTTCTACCATACATGACATCCATAGGTACTGTAGGTGCATTCATGCATACTTTCCTGCATTCGTTAAGCCATCATCTGGCACGGTACAGACACTGTAGTTTAGTGAGTTACCATATGCTTTACTTAGGGATTTCAAGAAGTCGAATACACGCCACTTTATATTGGAGCTGCCCCCATTGCTAGCACTTGCATCGGAGCCATCTTTCCCCTTCCTGGCGGCCACTGGAACTCCACCCATTGGTCCCACCATCCTTCACCCTCAGCCTGCTGCCGCTACAGCCTTTTCCTGGTATTCAGGGACCTTCAGACTCTGAAGGTAGAACGGGCTCCTAAGGGGCACTCACCCAGTTGTCTACCTCCTCTTTGGCATCACTGCCAGATCCAGGTAGAACCGATGCTTGCACGTCTCCCATGAGGGGGAGCTTCCTCTCTCCCAAGGCAGCCCATTCCGTCTTTGGATGGTTTTGACTCTCGTTGGTTAACACACGAACCGCTGAGTGCATCCACAAGCCTGCTATTGTTGGTGGGAAAATGGGATACAAAGATGAATAAGACGGCCCTCACCCTTGACAGAGAGCAGAGCCAGATATAAATAATTACACCAAAATATTAGAAGCCTGCTATATATAGCAGGCAGGGGAGGTGTGTCCAAAGGTGGGGGTATATGAGGAAGTGCAGCGTGTTTGGAGAAAATCGACAATGTTCATGTGGTAAAGGGTGCGTGGAGGTGGCAGCGGAGAGAAAAACTGGCAGGACGAGTGGTTTAGGCTTCATTCCGTGCGTCACAGGGCCAGATGCCACTCAGAGGCGGGGGGGGTGCCAGGAACAGCTCTCTTGCGGGGGAAGAACAACTGGGTAGGGGGCAAGAGGAATTTCTGTAACCAAACTTAGGAGCTCCCATTTCCACAGATGACAGAAAAAAAAACAACCCACTCTTGACACTTGAAGTAATTCAGACTCTTTAAGGTTTGCACTTAGACCACGTGGACTCAACCCGTGGCCTTTTTCTCCTGGCATGATCTGAGTACTGGCTTGGATGGGCTACGGATCTGGCTCTGCTGACCTGTTGTTGTGGGGTATCAAGACCTGCTCAGCCATCATCCCTGGCTACCAGATCCCCATGGCCGCCGCGTCCATCTGTTCCCCAGCCACGGCCCTCTTTGGCCTGTCTCGGCCACAGCCTCTGCCTCACTACCCCCCTCCCCACATTACAGGTGTGCCACCCAGCAGTCATGCTGATCTCAAGTCCCAGCTACCATCAGTGTTCCTTGAGAGGGTCCCCAGGAACGTCAAATATGTCCCCCACAATTACTGGAGGGCGGTGGGAGGGAGCCACATTAGGCCCTGTCTGACCTGCTCGCCATGTTGGCACGGGGCCTCTGTGGGACCATTTCCTCCCAAAGTTCCTCGAGGTAAACAGGGTACCAGCCCCTCTGCTCTGGGCTTCCTAAGGGGGTTTCTTACTTGCCTCTGCCCCCGGGGGTTTGAACCTGAGTCAGGGCAAGACAGAGGACTTGCTTATATTCTCTTGCTTCTGATCCCTCTCTGGGCTTTTCCCTCAACCTCAGGAGGGGCTGTCTTCTTCCCCGAGGGCAGGAAACTGCCCCTGTGTTAATTTCATCTTTCCCCACTCCAGGGCTGACAGTTCAACATTCTATACCCTGAGTCCACTGAACCTCTGGTTCTTGATCATCAAAGGGACACTCCTGGCATTCAGAAAACCCTTTCTGCAGTCCTCAAAGCCTGGCTCTTTCAAGTGAAAGCCTTACCTTTCATAACTATTCTTTTGGAAATGAGCCTTCAGAAGAGCTTGTTTGAGAAGTCAAAAGCTGAACACAGTCTCCTGTATCCTCAGCTGCCTCTGCTTTCCCCTGAGGTGATGGAGGTCTCAGCATCAGTGGGAAGAGGGCTTCAGGACACACATCATCCCCAGAAATGAAAATGACATTGGCTAATATATCAGAAATGTATTCTGCTACGTAGAACGTACTCAGTCTCCCTAATGGAGTTTTTTTGTTGGTTCACATCCTTTTGGGGCCAGCTGGGGGAACTCCATGCTACCCTGAGCTGGTCAGGTCTGTACTGTTCTCTTAGAAAGGGCTCCCTTGGTGGTCAGGAACATTGGGTAAGAACGGGAGGCCTGACAGTCTCAGATACCAGTCTTGTCTGTAAGGAGTTCCAAGAAAGGAAACCCCATACGCTTTAGACTTGGAAGGCTGCTAGGAAACATGGCGAGGTGGGCTTTGGTGGGTTGGAGAGGAGGGAGGAGGGGGCTGAACTGCCTGATGTGTCAGTAACTCAGTGATGGGTTATGGCATGGGGCGAGTATTACCTTTTTAAGTCTTTGTAAGATCTGAGCTGTGAGCAAGCTGCTTCTTTCCGAAAGTTGTCATGAAGGGCCTGGTACACACAAGTGCTTGTCAAGTGTCAATGTGTGTACAGATCCCTGCAAGATCTTGTTCAGGTGCAGATTTGGGTTCAGTAGGTCTGGTGGGACCTAAGAGTCCCATTTCTGATGAGCTCCCAGGGCGTTAGCTACTGTAGGTTCATAAAGCTCACTTAGAGTAGCATGAATCCAGACCAGGGATTCTGGTTCACCCAGAATTCCCCCAGGGGTTACTCCCAGGTTTAATTGAGTCAGCATGTCCTGGGGTGACAGTTCTTCCACTGCCTTGGAGAGCAGCAACAAGCATTTACCGGTGGTTTTATTTCTGGGTGAATAGCCTCTGGTGAGCTAAGAGAAAGTTACTTTCCTGATTTGAGGAATCAGGAAAACCTCAAGTTCTAGTTGTTGGGTGTAGAAACAGGTCCAATATTTTGCTAACTCTAAGCAATTGATCATCCGATTGTTGCATAACAAATTATTGCTGCAGTTAGTGACTTAAAAGAGCCGCTTTAGGGACTTCCCTGGTGGTCCAGTGGTTAAGACTCCATGCTCCCAATGCAGGGGGCACGGGTTCAATCCCTGGTCAGGGAACTAAGATCCTGCCTGCTGCACGGCATGGCCAAGAAAAAGAGCCACTTAATTTTGCTCATGATTTTGTGGAACAGGATTCCAGTAAGGGCTTGACTGGGTGGTCCTTGCTCAGGGTCTCTGAAACGGTTGTAGTCAGACACTGGCCCAATTGGGCTGGAGGTCCCTGATGGTGCACTTAAGGGGCGGGCAGTGGGTGCTGGCTGTTGACAGGGAGCTCAGTTGGGGTTGACACTGGTTCTAGCCTTGGAAGCCACCCGGCATCACTTATGCCACATTTTATTTGTTATAAGCACGTCACGAAGGCCAGCTCACATTCCGAGGGACAGGAATCGTGCCCATCTTCAATCCACCACAATTCCCACCTCCAAATTGAATAGTCAGGTGGCATTTTACTTGCTCTCGGAGCGCAGGCATAAGACTTACATGTGCCTTTTCATGGGCACAAGGACCCTTTCTTGTGGTCCATTGATCTACTCTGCTGATTCCTCACCTGGGGAGAGCCACGGTAGAAATCTGTTTGGGGCCCAGGTAGAGAAGGCCAGAGCGTTCGTCGTGGAAGAAAGGTGCTCAGAAATGGCGTCAGCAGCCACATTTGGCTTCTATCCTCTAATCGAGGTTCATTCTGAAAGTCAAAAATCACTTTATATGAAGCCAGAGATACCGAGGGCATGAATTAAACTTTACAGCCCTCTGCTCCGCTTGTCAGAACTACACGTCAAAATTCTCCAGCAAAGATGGAGCTTAAATGAAGTAGACTGTAAGGTCCACATTACTCATCGTCATTCTAATATTGCCTACTACTGTTGAAAGTTTCCTTCATTAACATGTGCTTTGCTGCCTCTTAAAATAGTTCCATAACCAATGCCGCAGTTCTGCAAAGCATGATGAGAAAGGTTCTTTGATCATGCTCATTACTGAATATTTTTAGCAGAGCAATAATTAGGATTTGGAGGAAGCTGGGTGCCTCATTATGTCAGCAGAGGGCTTGGCTTCTTTCAGGGACCTACCTCCCAACCAGCCAAAGCAAATCTTTCCCCAGCCCCAACTTTCAGTTACTCAGCCACAGAGACTTCACCCTGTGGCTTCAAAGAAACGGTGAGCTCATGTCACCAGTGTCTGAGTGACTTGCTAAAATCAGTTAGTGGCTAGAGAATCTCCTTAACATTTCAGCCGGCAGTGGTTGTGAGTGAAATGCCTGCCTACTGAAAGATGGGATATCCTCCTCACCAGGAAGCTCCCTGCTGCCCTCACCAAGGTGAGGATGCTGTCTCAGGCCCCCTGGCTTGGGACCTCTCAGGGATCTTTGCCCACTAGAGCCCCGTGCACAGTTGGGTGCTATTTATATCCATGCCTTTATGTGTCGGCACCCTCTACCTTCTACTTAGTTTTCTATTTGAGTCCGCTTTCTTAGAAGGTGCTAAAAGAAGTTTCTGACCTCGGGGCCAACCCCAGCTCTGCCCTCTGAGCCACAGTATGTTAGAAACTGGATGCTTTGCCTGTGACAGCGGGGCCGCCCTGCTGCTGATACTATCAATGTGCAGATGGTGGCGAAGGAAAGCTCCAAAGGGACGCCCTGGTTGGGGCTAGAAGGCTGACAAATTCACCACTGTCCATAGATCCGAGAGAACTGGGTTTGGAAAGGCACTTGGACATCAGTGTTCATCTAGTCACTCATTCAACAAATATTCCTGGTGCCTGCTTGTCACCCAGTGCTGAGGACACAGACGAGAAGAAGGCAGGAGTGCTGCCTTCCCTCAGGCAGCTGATAGTCAGGTGGAAAAGGCAGTTACGGAACAAGCTGTCTGGGAATATTTGAAGGAAGAGAGCAGTGGACCATGGGCGAGAATTATAAGCAGGAAGACCCAGTCTGGGGTTTGAGAGATTTCCTTGAGGAAGTGATGCTAAAGGTGAACCCCAGTGGATGGCCGGGAGTTAACCAGGTGGAGAGTATGTGGCAGAGTGAGGGGAGGGGGCAGCCCTTGGAGGACACTCAAGTCCAGGGCCGCTGGGCCAAGGCAGGGCCAGCCTGTCGCTCAGCTCCACAGAAAACAGTGAGAAGAGCGCCCGCTGCATCTGCGGAGCACAGCGCCCGCTGCATCTGCGGAGCACAGGGGCCTTGGCTTAGGGAGTGAAGGGGGAACGCGGGTCTGAGATGAGACTGGAGAGAAGCACAGGGAAGAGAGAAGGCAAACTGCCTCAGAGTCAAGTTAAGGATTTGAATCCAAATACAAAGGACGGTAGAAAGCCAATGAAGGATGTTGAGCAGGTATCTGACTTATATTTTGAAAGACTGCTCTGCGGCTCTTGCTACGTGGAGAGCAGATTGAGGGGACAGAAAAGCGACATCCCTGGAGACTGGTTTTGAGGCTCTTGCTGTAATCTGAACAAGGTGGGGTTAGATTGGTTTAGATGGAGGATGGAGGAAAGTGGGTGAACCAGGGAGACATTTAGGAAGTAGATTGGTGAGTAGAAGGAAATTGATTGGACGTAAGGAGTGAGGGGGAGGGAAGCGGCACAGGTGAGGCCGAGGTCATGTGCAGCCACCTCATTTCTCAGCTTCAGAGGCTGAGGTTAAGTAACTTGCCTTCTGAGGCTTGAGTGACTTGCCCAAGTGTACAAACGGAGGACCCAGCACCCTCGTCCCTAGGCTCTGTCCATCATGCTGTCTCATGCCTGATATCTCTGACTGAGTGACCATTATCATATTAGAAAGATCTCAATTGCCAACACATCATTTCAGTTGACAACAGAAGTGCAAGCATAAACCAGATTCTTTTCAAAATTTTAATTTTATATTGGAGTATAGTTGATTAACAATGTTGTTAGTTTCACGTGTACAGCAGAGTGATTCAGTTATGCATATACGTGTATCTATTCTTTTTCAAGTTCTTTTCCCATTTAGGTTATTACAGAATATTGAGTAGAGTTCCCTGTGCTGTACAGTAGGTCCTTGCTGATTATTTTAAATATAGCAGTGTGTATATGTCAATCTCAGTCTCCCAATCTATCCCTACCCCTGGTAACCATAAGTTCATTCTCTAAGTCTGTGAGTCTATTTCTATTTTGTAAATAAGTTCATTTGTATCATTTGTTAAGATTCTGCAGATAAGCGATATGATATTTGTCTTTGTCTTACTTCACTTAGTATGATAATCTCCAGGTCCATCCATGTTGCTGCAAATGGCATTATTTCATTCTTTTTGATGGTGGAGTAATATCCCATTGTATATATGTACCACATCTCCTTTATCCATTCATCTGTCGATGGACATTTGGGTTGCTTCCATGTCTTGGTTCTTGTAAACAGTGCTGCAGTGAACATTGGGGTGCATGTATCCTTTTGAACCATGGTTTTCTCCAGATATATGCCCAGGAGTGGGATTGCTGAATCATATGGGAACTGTATTTTTAGTTTTTTAAGGAACCTCCATACTGTTCTCCGTAGTGGCTATACCAATTTATACTGCCACCAACAGTGTAGGAGGTTCCCTTTTCTCCACACCCTCTCCAGCATTTACCGTTTGTAGACTTTTTGTTGTTGTTGTTGTTAAAGAGGAGCGTGTTTTGTTTATTTATTTACTTTTGGCCATACTGCACTGCACGGCTTGCAGGAACTCAGGTCCCTGACCAGGGATTAAACCTGGGCCATGGCAGTGAAAGCCCAGACTCCTAACCACTTGGCCACCAGGGAACTCCCTGTTGGTAGACTTTTTGATGATGGCCATTCTGACTGGTGTGAGGCGATATCTCATTGTAGTTCTGATTTGCATTTCTCTAATAATTAGTGATGTTGAGCGTCTTTTTCATATGTCTCTTGGCCACCTGTATATCTTCTTTGGAGAGATGTCTATTTATGTCTTCTGCCCATTTTCTGATTGAGTTGTTTTTTTGATATTGAGCCACATGAGCTGTTTGTAGATTTTGGAGACTAATCTCTTGTCAGTCACATTGTTAGCAAATATTTTCTCCTATTCTGTGGGTTGTCTTTTCGTTTTGTTTATGGTTTCCTTTGCTGTGCAAAAGCTTTTGAGTTTCATTAGGTCCCATTTATTTGTGTTTTATTTCCATTACTCTAGGAGATTGAAAAAGATACTGCTGCGATTTACGTCAAAGAGTGTTCTGCCTCTGTTTTCCTCTAAGAGTTTTATAGTATCCAGTCTTACATTTAGGTCTTTAATCCATTTTGAGTTTATTTTTGTGTATGGTGTTAAAGGATGTTCTAATTTCGTTTTTCTACATGTAGTTGTCCAATTTCCCCAGCACCATTTACTGAAGAGACTGTCTTTCCTCCATTGTATAGTCTTGCCTCCTTTGTCCTAGATTAATTGACCATAGGTGCATGGGTTTATTTCTGGGCTTTCTATCCTGTTCCATTGATCTATGTTTCTGTTTTTGTGCCAATACCATACTATTTTGATGACTGTAGCTGTGTAGTATAGTCTGAAGTCAGGGAGCCTGATTCCTCCAGCTCCATTTTTCTTTCTCAAGATTGCTTTGGCTATGCAAGGTCTTCTGCGTCTCCATACAAATTAAAATTTTTTTTTGTTCTAGTTCTGTGAAGAATGCCATTGGTAATTTGATAGGCATTGCATTGAATCTGTAGATTGCCTGGGGTAGTGTAGTCATTTTAACAATTTGATTCTTCCAATCCAAGAACATGGTGTATCTTTGCATCTGTTTGTGTCATCTTTGATTTCACCAGATTCTTGTCTTTCATAACATTTGTGACTTCCTTATGGCCCTGTATTGGTACACCCAGATACATCTTTGAGGACTTTAAGGAAGTTCTATGAAAAATTGGCATCCTCTGTGCTTGTTTGTTTTTACTCAGTCCCACAGAGTCTAGATGAAAGGGCCTTTGAGTGGTGAAACCATCATTCAGAGTAGATTGTTCTTAGAGAGACAAAATCATCTAGCAGCCCCTGGGCATGTCTTTCAATCAGAGACAACAAAAATAGTCCACCCTTTCTCTTATCCTTCACTGTAATGTGACGCAGAACTCCCAGGG